AGCAGCTGGTCGCTAGCATTGTTCTTGTAGACCCACGTTCCCATCCTTTCCGTATTGAAAGTAATAGTGCGGTGGGGAGCATTAGGAGACTTCTTACATCGTCAGCATTTAAGGTTTTGTCCGTGGAGGACGCGTTGTACCTCATTCCAATTCATCAACTGTCCCGTGGAGTTCCTGTTGAGAACACAGGCGTACTTTAAGTCCTCCACAAGAACTCCGTGGGACATCTGAATTGGAATGAGCCACAACTCATTCAAATTCCGACGATGTCTAGAAGCCTCGCTAATCGCACTCACCGACACTATACTCTCAATGCGGAAAGGGATGGGGAAGGTGGGTCTACAAGAACAAATGTGCAGAACGTGACTGCTTGGAGGGAGATATAAATTGCTACTATGTGCTGGTTTGCACTACCTTCGGCTGTGATGGCTATATGGGCAAGCGGGCCACCAACAGCCTGGTCGACCAGGCAATCACAAGAAACGTATGAACATTTATAACATAACATTCTCCCTGATGTTATTCTGTCAGTCTACCCATATGCGTTAAGTGGGGTACTATTTCCTACGCCCCACCCTCCTTGCCAGCCTCCCCATGTGGTTGATGCTGGGGCACTACTTCCTACCCCCCCTGCCAAGCTCCACATGTGGGTGATGGGGTACTACTTACTACCCCCTGCCAGGCTCCACATGTGGGTGATGTTGGGGTACTACTTCCTACCCCCCCTGCCAAGCTCCACATGTGGGTGATGGGGTACTACTTACTACCCCCCTGCCAGGCTCCACATGTGGGTGATGTGGGGTACTACTTCTACCCCCCCTGCCACGCTCCACATGTGGGTGATGCTGGGGCACTACTTCCTACCCCCCCTGCCAGGCTCCACATGTGGGTGATGTTGGGGTACTACTTCCTACCCGCCCTGCCACGATTCACATGTGGGTGATGCTGGGGCAATACTTTCTACCCCCTTGCCAAGCTCCACATGTGGGTGATGTTGGGGTACTACTTCCTACCCCCCCTGCCAAGCTCCACATGTGGGTGATGGGGTACTACTTACTACCCCCTGCCAGGCTCCACATGTGGGTGATGTTGGGGTACTACTTCCTACCCCCCCTGCCACGCTCCACATGTGGGTGATGCTGGGGCACTACTTCCTACCCCCCCTGCCAGGCTCCACATGTGGGTGATGTTGGGGTACTACTTCCTACCCGCCCTGCCACGATTCACATGTGGGTGATGCTGGGGCAATACTTTCTACCCCCTTGCCAAGCTCCACATGTGGGTGATGTTGGGGTACTACTTCCTACCCCCCCTGCCAAGCTCCACATGTGGGTGATGGGGTACTACTTACTACCCCCTGCCAGGCTCCACATGTGGGTGATGTTGGGGTACACTACTTCCTTAACACCCCCCCCCTGCCACGCTCCACATGTGGGTGATGCTGGGCACTACTTCCTACCCCCCTGCCAGGCTCCACATGTGGTGATGTTGGGGTACTACTTCCTACCCGCCCTGCCACGATTCACATGTGGGTGATGCTGGGCAATACTTCTACCCCCTTGCCAAGCTCCACATGTGGGTGATGTTGGGGTACTACTTCCTACCCCCCCTGCAAAGCTCCACATGTGGGTGATGTTGGGGTACTACTTCCTACCCCCCCTGCCAAGCTCCACATGTGGGTGATGTTGGGGTACTACTTCCTACCCCCCCTGCCAGCTCCACATGTGGGTGATGCTGGGGTACTTACTTCCTACCCCCCCCTGCCAGGCTCCACATGTGGGTGATGTTGGGTACTCTTCCTACCCTCCTCTGCGAGCTCCCCATGTGGGTGATGATGGGGTACTACTTCCTACCCCCCCTGCCAAGCTCCACATGTGGGTGAGACTGGGGGCATTACCTTCTACCCCCCCTGCCAAGCTCCACATGTGGGTGATATTGGGGTACTACTTCCTACCCCCCCTGCCAGGCTCCACATGTGGGTGATGTTGGGGTACTACTTCCTACCCCCCCTGCCAGGCTCCACATGTGGGTGATGTTGGGGTACTACTTCCTACCCCCCTGCCAGGCTCCACATGTGGGTGATGTTGGGGTACTACTTCCTACCCCCCCTGCCAGGCTCCACATGTGGGTGATGTTGGGGTACTACTTCCTACCCCCCTGCCAGGCTCCACATGTGGGTGATGTTGGGGTACTACTTCCTACCCCCCCTGCCAGGCTCCACATGTGGGTGATGTTGGGGTACTACTTCCTACCCCCCCTGCCAGGCTCCACATGTGGGTGATGTTGGGGTACTACTTCCTACCCCCCTTGCCAAGCTCCACATGTGGGTGATGTTGGGGTACTACTTCCTACCCCTCCTGCCAAGCTACACATGTGGGTGATGCTGGGGTACTACTTCCTACCCCCCCCCGCCCTGCCAGGCTCCACATGTGGGTGATGTTGGGGTACTACTTCCTATCCCCCCTGCCAAACTCCACATGTGGGTGATGTTGGGGTACTACTTCCTACCCCTCCTGCCAAGCTACACATGTGGGTGATGCTGGGGCATTACTTCCTACCCCCCTCCCTGCCAGGCTCCACATATGTGTAAGGCGGGGGCACTACTTCTTATTTTCCCCTCCCTGTCATTCATCCCTCGTGTACCTTCCCACCTGCCCTCCCCTCTCCCCCCCCGCCCTCCTTCCCCATGTCTGCCCTCCACTTCCTCTCCTCCTCCTCGTCTTGTCGTGCACTGTACCTTCATTAAGGAGTCATAACAAAGTCTTCGCATCATCGTGTGCAAGTCACCTCCGAACACCGTGAATTGCTGCCTTCCGTCTGCTGTTATCTTCTACTTTACTTATCATATTTAAGATCTTGTTTATCACACATCACCATAGCAAAGATTCTACGAATTTAAGATTGACTTAATTTGCTATTTATTTTTCTCGGTATGTTCGTTTTTGTGGGTGTGCGTGTGAGCCTTTGTGTTTTTGTGAGTATAATGCATGCTTGGCACTACTTTCAAGCACTAGAGAACACTACCTGTAGGTGCTGGATGTGTGTGAATGATTGTCTTCCACTATACGTAGAAAATCAGCTATAGTCTTCGACTGAAATCTGTGTTGAGAGGTATGAGAAATTGTCAATTCAACCCGTCTACCACTCAGACCTGTTAATAAATTAGACACATGTGCAACTCCTGGGTATCTTTATTGAGGAAACGTTTCACCACACAGTGGCTTCATCAGTCCATACGTAGGAGAAACTTGAAGAACAGGAGGAGAATGAGGTAATCAGTCCCTCAACCTTGAGTGTGGGAATGATTACCTCATTCTCCTCCTGTTCTTCAAGTTTCTCCTACGTATGGACTGATGAAGCCACTGTGTGGCGAAACGTTTCCTCAATAAAGATACCCAGGAGTTGCACATGTGTCTAATTTATTAACATATCGGTTCTCTGAACCATTCATCTACAAACACTCAGACCTGGGAAAAAACTTACATCATTTGTTCTTTTAGACATGTATATATTGGTGTGTAAAACATGATATATGTATGTGTAAAACATGGTACATGTAGACATACATATAGGCTTTATACAATATACTGGAGTGAGCTCACTCCAGTAAAGACGTTCCCTGGGATCGTATTTGCTTACACATGCTCCTGTTTTCTGCAACTTTGCAAGCTCCTGATGTGCTGATTGCAACACGAAAGGCCTACAGCTATCATTCTATTCCCCGCCGTGGTCATTTTGCATCTTGTGTCACTTGGCTTGCGATATATATATATATTGCAAACAATCGCAGACGGGCGATCTCAGCTATGCAAGAGAAGCCACAGGTGAAAAATCTTTAGCTCAAGTACTTTCACACTTCTCAGTGCGTCATCATTAGCTATGCAATGTTGCAAGATAGCAACTAAAGCAGGGAGAGAGTTCTCAGAGTAGTGCGGATGTGTCACCGGCCGTGTGTGTGTGTGTGTGTGTGTGTGTGTGTGTGTGTGTGTGTGGTGTGTGTGTGTGTGTGTGTCTTTTTTTCTGTATCAATCACGTTGGATACCAGGTATATCTTGCTACTTCTACTGACCCTTGGGTCATATTACACATGCATGTACATGTATATATATATACATACCTAACTGGGTTTTCTTCTATTTCTTTGATTCTATTTCTTGTTTATTTCCTCTTATCTCCATACGGATGTGGAACAGAATTCTTGCTCCGTAAGCCATACATGTTGTAAGAGGCAACTAAAATGCTGGGAGCGAGGGGGGTAGTAACCCCTTCACTATAAATTACTAAATTAAAAAAAAAACGGAAGTTTTTCTTTTTTAGGTCACGCTGCCTCGGTGGGACACGGCCGGCCTCAATCCGTAATTTAGAAATTGCTGACACGTTCCTGTTGAAGAATTGGGATAGTTTGGGAAAAACTTTACAATTCGGCAACCAAGACGGAAAAACAGAGGACACCAGTTCTCACAGGAGCACACCTCAGCTAAGTGATGCTTACCCATAATGTACAGTGCTTTTTGCATTGGTCACCGTAAATTCTAGCTGTTAGGGTAAGGTAAGGATGTGTTCCATCAACATTGTCTTCCTGTGACAAATGGTAAGTGGTAATATGAATTTCCTTTCTAATAACATTATTTTAATTTATATATAATAATTATATTCTTGTATGCCCAGCAAACCTAATCATATACAGATAGTTTGGCGACCTGCTGTGACTTAAGTCCCACTTACCTCACCCAAATTACTTGCAGGAAATAATTCAGATAATACCCTGTAAACTTCCTGCAGGTAATTTAATCACAAATAATAATAAATATATAATAATAATAATAATAATAATAATAATAATAATAATAATAATAATAATAATAATAATAATAATAATAATAAATAAATAAATAAATATATATATATATACGTATGTATGTATAATCAACAGCATACGTAAGAAGGTTGCTGTTTATCGCTTCATGAAACAGAATGTCAACACAGAGTGGGATACTTACAGTTTGAGGCGGCCTTGAGTACAGCCTTGTAAGCCGCGGTCACCAATACCCCTAGACTGCACGGCTGGCACCTGCAATCAGTGCCGTCAGGGCTAGTCTGGTGCCACTTGTCAGGTGCTACGGCTGGCAGGGGTGGCCTTGGCTGTGCCAACACAGGTGCCGTCGTTGACATTCGAGGCAGGACACATCCGTTGGCACCACTGAAGCCTTTCTCTGTGTACTCCAGTATACCGTATGTTTTCCTGTACTTAGCTGGGTGGTGCTGGAAGGTGAGGTGCTGGTGCTGATGATACACGTGATGGTCACCACAGAACGAGAAGTGCTGTCGTAGTTTCTGGGGTCGGCGGCCAGCCACCCGTGACCCGTTGCCTGCCCCGGAGACACACCCGTCCCCCGGAGCTACACTGTAACTCCGTCCCAGCCGCCTCCCACCGTGGGTTATACTTGCTCCTCTACCCACTACACCATGGGCTGCTGTTAGTATGGGCGGATTTAATGAATATACCTTATAAGATCCATGACTGAGGGCTGACACACAGGAAGACGAGCGTGAGATAGCGGTGCCCCGGCGGCCGCCATGTTGGGTGAGGTTAAAGAAGGCCTCTGAACCAGAGGCTGCACAACTGTCGTTATTAACATGCACAGTGACCAGAGGTGGCTCTGGTGCCACCTTGCCACCCTCAACACTAGTAGTGATTTGACCCATTGGGTCCAGCGTGCCCCAGGCCGCAGCCACCGCTGGCCTCCTGCGGCGCGACGCACCATTCACGCTGCGACAGGTGACAGTGGCGCTGCGGGGGACACTGAAGGAAGGTCGCGGTAATAATCGCAGGTCTCGAGGAAGGCGCCAGGTGGTGGCGGCTTTGTCTTGGGGCGACACGAGGGTGATGGGAGCCATGGCGTGACCGCCCACCCATCCTGGACTCTCACTAACGTGGTCCGCCATGCTAGTGGGTGTAGGTGCAGGTGTGGTGGTTACTAGCACCTACATACACACCTGCCCTCACACATCCTCCTTCACAACACTGGCACACTTCCTGAAATCTTTACTATACTTGGACTTCACTTTACGTACCGAGGTTTGTAAATAAGGCACACAGACTGAAGAGGAATAAATATATTAGTTATATCACAAGACGCTCCGCCGCCACACATTACCAGAGTGTACAGTTTTCAACAAATTTAACTGCGTGTACGTGGGCAAGGCTGAACATGATAACACAACACTATAGGTCACTGTTGCTTTTCACAATGTTGGTCCTCACACTGCAGGTCATCGCGCAACACAAACTCCACACGTGCTCCCGCGTCCTTCACCCATACAAAATACAGTCCTTCAACACCCATTATACGAGTGCTTCATCATACTTCACCTGTACAATGTTCGTCTAACACATTCTACACAGGTTCTCCACCATACCTCACCTACACAATGTACACTTCTACAACACGTGAGACAAGTCACAGCCCCGCCGTTCACATGAATTTACTCACAGGATGACAATATTTACAAACTTTCATGGCTGCATAACAACTGCACAAACATACACCTCAGTAACACTGTGTAAGAGTAAACTTTGAGTGTGCATCATTTACACAAGAATGGCAAAGTACCTGTTTACAATGACATAGTATCTACGATTAAAAACACAATAACCACAAGTGACACACTAGCCATAACAAGTGACACACTAGCCATAACAAGTGACACACTAGCATAACAAGTGACACACTAGCCATAACAAGTGACACACTAGCCATAACAAGTGACACACTAGCTACAAGTGATACACTAGCCATAACAAGTGACACACTAGCTACAAGTGATACACTAGCCATAACAAGTGACACACTAGCCATAACAAGTGACACACTAGCCATAACAAGTGACACACTAGCCATAACAAGTGACACACTAGCCATAACAAGTGACACACTAGCTACAAGTGATACACTAGCCATAACAAGTGACACACTAGCCATAACAAGTGACACTAGCTACAAGTGATACACTAGCCATAACAATGACACACTAGCCATAACAAGTGACACACTAGCCATAACAAGTGACACTAGCTACAAGTGATACACTAGCCATAACAAGTGACACACTAGCCATAACAAGTGACACACTAGCCATAACAAGTGACACACTAGCCATAACAAGTGACACACTAGCCATAACAAGTGACACACTAGCCACAACACACTTGCCTCAACAAGACACACACTAGCCACAAGTCCCACAACAATGACACACTAGCCTAAAGTGACCACTAGCACAAGTGATCACTAGCCACAAGTGACACACTAGCCACAAGTGAACACCAGCCACAAGTGACACATTAAAGTCACAAACCAAGTGACACACTAGCCAAACAAAAGACACTAGCTACAAGTGAACACTAGCCAAAAATGACCACACACATTAGCTACAAACAAGTGACACACTAGCTACAACAGTGCACACTAGCCATAACAAAACAAAATAGCCACAAGTGACACACTAGCCTACAAGTGACACACTAGCCTAACAAGTGACACACTAGCCAAAGTGACACACACTAAGGGTCACAACAAGTGACACAATAGCCAACAAAATGACACATAGCCCAAACAAGTGACACACTAGCCATAAGAAAACTAGCCACAACAACACACTAGCCTAAAACACACACTAGCCGTCACAAGACACACTAGCCAAAAAGACACACCACAAGCCACCACAATTGACACTAGCCACAAGGATACACTAGCCAAAAAAGTGACACATAGTCACAAAGGACACACTAGCCACAACAAATACACACAAACCACAAGAACACACTAGCCACAAAATGCACACATAGCTAACAAATGACACACTAGCTACAAGTGATACACTAGCCACAACAAAACATACTGGCCACAAGTGACACAGTAGCCACCACAAGTGACACACTAGCAAAGTGACACACTAGTCACACAAGTTACACACAAAAGCACAATACAAATGAGACAACAGCCACTAGACACTAGCCACACAAGTACACACTAGCCAAACAACACTAGACAAAGCACACAAGTGACACACACTAGCCACAACAATTGACAACAGCCACAAGGCACACTAGCCACAACAAGTGACAACAGCCACAAGACACACATAGCCACAATACGTGACAAAACTACAAAACACATACCACAATGACACACTTAAGGGTACAGTGACCACTAGTCAACACACACTACATGTGGACACACATAGCTACAATAACACCCTAGCCACACCAGTACATACGGAAAAAGGTAGCAAAGCCCCAAGGACACACTTGCAATGACACATTACAAGTACAACTAAGCGACAAGTAGTGAACAGCAATGTGACAACTAGTACATACACACACCACAAACGTGACAACAGACAGTTGACACAATAGCCACAACACGTGACAACGAAAGTGACACACAGCACAAAAGTAACAGCCACAACACATAAGCGTTTACACTTTGGAAGGTCGTGCCCAGTGTCAACCACGACACTGAGATGCTGGGTCTCATGACCTAGTCTGACTAGCCGACTATCAATGAAGTATATACAAGACTACTTATAGTATCAACAACACGAGGTCAAACTAATAGTACAAACAGGAGGTACTACATAGACTTATAGTATCACACAAACAGATATTACAACTATGAGTAGACAAACAAAAAGCATTTGATTTTATAGATACCCGGTAAGAGAAAAAACATCTGGCTTTTTTGATAGTTACAGAGGAAAGAAAGATACTATATAATACAACAGATAGTAGAGAGATAAAGACATCGAGACTATCGGGAGAGGAGAAAAAAAAAAGTTACGTAGAAAGAGAGAGAGAGAAGAGAGAGAGAGAGAGAGAGAGAGAGAGAGAGAGAGAGAGAGAGAGAGAGAGAGAGAGAGAGAGAGAGAGAGAGAGAGAGAGAGAGAAACAATGAAATCATCTGCAGTTAGGGACCCTAGTTCTTCAGTGTAAGGTTCATACGGTGTGTACCTGGGATAGTCAGTGTGAGATACAGTAGCTCTGCACCTTACACTCATGTACACCTCTACAATGTGATAATTGTTAGGAAGACACATATGCAACAGTTAGGTATCTTTATTATTATTATTAGGTATCTTCATAATAAAGATACCTAACTGTTGCATATGTGTCTTACCTAACAACCTGTCGGTATTTTAAATACCATTTTAATGTTCAATGTGATAATTCTTGAGATCCGGCAATAATTTACTTAGGACTGAAGGCTCTGAGGAACTTTCAAACTGACGTTTTTTTTTTTTTTTAGTATGTATTAAGTACTGATTTCTTGAACAGTAACAAAGTTCACAATTTTAGTACTACTAACAAGTAATTCAAAAGGCGAAACACCCCCCACCACAAACACACACAGGCCAGGAGCTGAGTCTCGACCCCTGCAAGCACAATTAGGTGAGTACACACACATACACATACTAGTGACTAGCGAAGAGGCTGGGCCAGGAACTAAGACTCCACCCCTGCAACCACAAATAGGCGAGTCCACCAAAGTGTAACACAATATTTCAATATTGTTAAAATATGGGTTAGCGGGATACTTAGTACGTAGGTTGTAAGACACAGACAGCATCACCAGCATCTTTCCGACAACTTCACAACACACTATAAGGGAGCGTACATGCTTAGTAATGCGCAGGTAAGTATCACTGTTCATGATGTTTGATACCTGAACAATGTAACTAGACATCTTCCACTCCTGAACTGTATAAGATTTTATCTGTTAGAAGACAATGTTTACTAAATGTAGTCTTCATAAAAAAATTTCTGAGAAGTTATTTCACTAAGTAACTCACACTAGCACCAGCGAAGAACTAGACGAGAGAACGCGTGTAAAAAGATCACATGTGCGTCAATGTGGAGTAGTATCAAGCCTTGTACACATGATGTACAGAGAATGCCACACATGCATACAGAGGCGCTCGTGGCTGGTGCTGTCACCTCCACCACACACTGTCCACCACTGGCGCGGGAGACAACACAGGTACACAGCCAGGCTCACTGCTTCGCTGCTGCTCCTTCACCTACTCCAGCCACACGTAAAGTTTAGCTCACAATGATCTAGTTAAGCAACGTTCTCTTTTAAATGAATCAGTTTTCTATATACACCATCAAGAACGTAAATATTTGAATACGTTGACAGAAACTTGTTATTAAGTACATAAATCTTATATTCAGAGTAAACTGAATGAGCGATAGTCAGAGAAACAAAGTGAAATTAAGAAAAACACTGAGCGGAAACTGGTTGAGGGATGAGGCAATCATAACAACCGCCCCCGCCTCCGCCCATTCTACCGCTCCCACCCTCAACTCCGCCCTAAAATTCCGCCCCCACTGCCCCTTTCATGCTAGTGCCCCCGCCGCATCTTTCATGCCACCGTCCCCGCCGCTCCTACCCTGTCCATGTGTGTGTTCACACCTTCATCATTATTGTAATCAAACAGTGACGTTCCCTCACTGCCACACAACTTGCATCCCTCCTCCCTCCCTACATTATACCTCCCCTCTGATATAGTTCTGCCCCACCACACTACCATGCTCCATTATTTATATCTCCCTCCAAACATTACCCTGCTTCATCATATTTCCCTCCACACACTTCTCCATCACACTATCCTGTTTATCATTTATATTTCCCTCCACACACTGCTCCATCATACTACCCTGCTCCATCATTTACACTGAGTTATTTAACAGCGCAAATGATGCAGTATAAGTCTTGGCAGTAAAGACTGGAAGCTAGAACCTAGTTATTGTACTTGGATATATACCACCAGATGCAGCTTCTCAGCAGTTTCAAGACCAGCTAATGAAAACTGAATACCGTTTTGAAAGAACCTATCAAACCTATCCTCATATATCCTACTGCCTGATTTCAATTTAAGACATTGAATGATATAGCAAAGACTCTAATAGCAGAGAGAGTCTCAGGTGCCAGTTTGGATGAACAGTCTCACTCAACAGTACTACTAAGACTGAGAAATATTCCTTATGTCAGCAAATAGCAGAATCGACCAGACTAGGAATTATTCTGGACCTTATATTCACAAATAATGAAGACCTTGTATGGTAAATAATATTGTTGAAGACTGTAAATTCAGTCACCTAATAAAAGTTCAGACCTCCATACTAATTGGGCCTAATCATCAAAACACAATCATGAGGCTATGTTTAAAAAATATATCTTAAACAATAAAACCATCAACTGAAAGGTAATTTATCATGATCTTGTTGAAATATGCTGAGAAGATGATATGATAAACAAGGACCTAAACAAGTTGTTGGAGGGAAGAAGCTTAGTGGTACCAGAAGTATTCTCCAGACACATACTATTGCGAATGAAGAGAAGGTGCAGGTTGGAAAGGAAAAGGTGCGCTCTCTTTAGACGAAGACGACGAATGACAGAGCTCCTCATAGGCAATAGAATCTCTGAAAAATTCAAAGTACGACTGGCTAGAGAAATGGAAAATATTAAGCTCAAACTGAATGCATCATGCCGAGTCCATGAGAGACAAAGAGCGAAAACACCCATTAATGAAACTAAGAAAAATCCAAAATACTTTTCATGTGCAAAATCTAAGACAAAAACAAATCTGGTATCGAGCCTTCGATTAAAGACGACGGAACACATGACAACAACAGAGAAATGAGCGAGACACTCAGATCCTAATACAATTCAGTGCTCAGTGAGCCATTAATCAGAAAAAAGATTGACGACCCAAATGAGCTCTTTATGAACGAGACACAAAACACAACAGACATCTTCATGATATATCGCTAATGCATTCCTAACCCCACTTTGAGGAAGCCATTGATTGTGTCCATGAACCCAGCCTCATGCCTTGACTTGTGGAACTCTATATTCATCAGGACTAGCAAATAAACACACGCACACACAAACATAACCCACGATGTATAACTTACATTCAACAAATGTATACATATTACGGAAGCAACGCTTGGCGTTAAGACACTTAAAGAGTAAGACTCTGATACACTGGTAGAGCTTCACAGAGTAGTCAACCCTGGGGGCGTCCTTCAGGGTACTCTCACGGGAGTCTTATACCAGGGACAACCCACCAGAGAAGACACTCAGACAGGGCCTTACCAACTAGTGATTCATGGTGGTAACACGGGTGACTCCCGTCTGGGAGGTCAGGAGGTCAATCCTGACTGAAAGATCACGGGGGTCAATCCTGGCTAGGAGGTGGGGGTCAATCCTGGTTAGGAGGTCAGGGAGTCAATCTTGACGGGAAGGTCAGGGAGTCAATCTTGGCTGGGAGGTCAGGGAGTGAATCTTTGCTGGAAGGTGAGGGAGTCAACCATGGATGGAAGGTCGGGGTCAATACTGCTTGGGACGTCAGGAGTCAATCCTTGCTGGGATTTAGGGGGTCACTCCTGACTGGGAAGACAGGGGGTCGAGCCCGGCTGGAAGATCAGGGGGGTCAATCCTGGCTGGGAGGTAGGGGGGTCAATCCTGACTGGGAAGTAGGGGGGTTCAATCCTGACTGGGAGGTCAGGGGGGTTAATCCTGACCGGGAGGTCGGGAAGGGGTCAATCCTGACTGGGAGGTCGGGGGGATCAATCCTGACTGCGAGGTCAGGGGGTCAATCCTGACTGGGAGGTAAGGGGGGTCAATCCTGACCGGGAGGTCAGGAAGGGGTCAATCCTGACCGGGAGGTCAGGGAGGGTCAATCCTGACGAGTCAGGAGTCATCCTGGTGAGGTCAGGGGGGCAATCCTGGCTAGGAGGTCAGAGAGTCAATTCTGACTGGGAGGTCAGGGAGTCAATCCTGACTGGAGGTCAGGGAGTCAATTTTGACTAGGTCAAGGGGTGAGCCCTGGCCGGAAGGCCAGGGGGCGAACCCTGGCTGGGATGTCAGGGGTAAACCCTGGCTAGGAGGTCAGAGGGGTCAGTCCTGGCTTAGAGGTCTGGGGGTCAATTCTGGCTTGGAGGTCAGGGGAAGATTCAATTCTGGCAGGGAGGTCAGGGGGGTCAATCTCGGCTTGGAGGTCCAGGGGGGTGAACCCTGGCTGGTAGGTAAGGGAGGGGTCAACTCTGGTTGCTACTAAAGGGGGGGTTCAACCCTGGCTGGGAGGTCAGGGGTCACTCCCAGGAAGACGGAACCAGTCTCTATCACTCCACATAATTACACTAATGTCAGAGGTGATGGTGGAGGCCTCCTTCAGGATCCACAGGAGTCCTTCATTACTGCTACATCCTCATTACCAGCATCTTCATTTTAATTATAACTGAAGGATATTTCGGGAGTTCTTTTATATTAATAAAGAATAATAAATGGTGGCTTAAGCTCAGTGGTAGCGCCTCTGGTTCATAATTATAACTGAAGGACCAGTGTTTAATTCTGGGCGAGTTGAGAGGCACTGCTAAGTCCTCATCAGTGTTCACCTAGAAAAATGAGACACTTGGGCAACACTTGGGTATCTTTACTGTGGAAACGTTTCGCCAGACAGTGGCTTCTTCAGTTTAATACTGAGGAAGCCACGGACTGGTGAAACGTTTCCACAGCGAAGATTCCCAAGCGTTACAGAAGTGTTTCATTCATCAACTTGTCAGTTCTCTGAATCATTTATCTACAATCTCTGTTCACCTTGTGTTGTGAGCTCCGGCGTGCTCTAGCGTGCTCTGGCGTGCTCTAGCGTGCTCTGGCGTGCTCTAGCGTGCTCTGGCGTGCTCTGGCGTGCTCCGCCGTGCTCCGTCGTTTTCGTAGATTATCACGGCTTCTTTTACGTGGTAAAAACTTTAAACCGTGCCAGTGAACTTTTAAAGTACATCCCTCCAGCGCTTGGAACTAATCTAACAAATAGCAGTGCACACTGAGCCAAAAATGGATAAAAAGTGTGCAATAACATAGCAGAGTCATACTCCCAGAGGGGAACCATAGGCCTAGGGTGCCATGTGCAAAAAAAAAAAAAAGAAACTTATAACAGTGCCATATATAGTGGAATAGTGTATATCACAGTGGTACCGTAGTATGGAAATAAATGGTATAAAATACCGACACAATGGAAATATAAACACATATGCAGTATAATGAGATCCATTATTGACAACGTTTCGCCCACGCAGTGAGCTTTTTCAAGTCACAAATAGATCTACCTGGGTGGAAGGTACGCGAGTATTTATAGTCAGGTTCAGAATGTTGGGTCAGGTGGAGAATGCTCCATCTGATGATCTATCGAGTGGGGTTAGAGTCTAAAATCTTGGGTAGCTTGGAAGGGAGATTGGATAAGTTTGAGAGCAGACCTTCTGCAGTGTTCCTTCATTCCTATGTTCTTATGTGGGATAGCGATGAAGAAGTTTCTTGGCAAGTGGTTCAGCTATGTTATAGAAGCCATTGTTCTGGTTGAAATTGTCGGATATAGAGATAAGCGATGATTCCAGGATTCTTCGGTATTGACTGTTGTCTTCTCTGGCGATAAGTCTTGAGTTTCTGTAGTTTATTAAATGGTTGTGTGAATTACGGTGTTGTACACAGGCGTTTCTTGTATCGTCAGACCTGCTTGCGTATTGGTGTTCTGAAATACGTGTTTGGAGGTCTCTTGATGTTTCGCCCACGTATAATTTGCTGCAGTCATTACAAGGGATTATGTATACCCCTGCAGAGGATGGAAGCTTGTCCTGTCTATTACTGGTAATGCCCTTGACGGTCGTGGTTGTGAAGGTAGATACTTGGAATGAGGTATTGGAAAAGATGTTGGAAACGTGTTTGGCAATGGAGTCGGTGGGGAGGACTATGTATCTCTTCTCGGCAGTGTCTTCTCTGGGTGTGTTGAAGATGTTTAATGCCCTTCCTCTGCCAGAATGTACGGCCTGCCAAAAACTCACAAGCCTGGCATTGCATTGAGGCCCATATCTTCGGGAATAAGCAGTGCTCCCCACCAACTCTCAGGAATTCTCGCAAAACACCTCTCTAAACTCTTGGGCACTATCAGTCCAGCACATCTCAAACACTCGGGTGATCTTCTCAATCGCATTCGCAACATCAACATCAAGAACAAGAAGCATTCTAGCCTTGACGTAACTTCCTTATTCACCAAAGTACCTACTACACAAGCCATCGATCTCTTGCGCAGGAAAATTAACAATTCACTTGATCTTCTTATTCCAGCCAGCGATTTCATCGACCTTGTTGAACTATGTGTTGGCTTTATGTGTTTCTCTTTCGAAAATCACCTCTTTCAGCAGACTTTCGGACTACCCATGGGTTCGCCACTCAGTGCCGTCCTGGCGAACCTATACATGGAACATCTGGAAGCCGAGCGTCTGTCACCTGGCTCCG